ATTGCTTCCCAGGCGGCGGTTTCGCGGCCTAGGGGGCGCCGCTAGCTTCCCGGAACACGCTAGCTTCCCGGAACATGATGGCAGAAGCGGTGCTGGGAGCATGATTGGATACGTGGACTGTTGCAACAGATAAATTAACATGGCGCTTCACGTGCAAATCACTTCTCCATTTGTTGTTAAATCAGTTTAAAGTATTGCTTGATGTGTTGGTTTCAATGTTTTCATGTGTAACTTGTTGTCACAGGGCATTCCTGAAAAGCAGTGTTTTAAATGGCACTGAGGTCTCTACCCTGTTTAAATAAAACAGAAATAAATAAAAAATAATAATGATAATAAAGTTTAGGTCTTAAACTTGTTAAGCTGAGCTATTCCTCTAGTTTAGTTGGTTTCTATTATTTTCTATACCAAAGGCCCATATCCGTACATAACATTAAAAACAGAGACATATATACAGAACTAAATGGGTAAAAAAAACAGTGAGATACGGTATGGTAATACCACTGTAATACCGACTGAGTCATATGTATTATATTACATACAGTCAAATGTAAAATATTATATATATATATAGTCTAATGTAAAAATATGGATCGCCTTAGCACTTCTACCAATAGATATAATGCATGATTAGATATCACATATATTGGATTTAATGTTGCGTATGCAACACACAATATCATACTTGTACCAAAGAAAACAAAAGAAGAAGTTCTATATATACATAGCCCCCACATTGAAAGCACCCAGGGCAAAAGATATCTATCATGAGTAGTGCAATAAATAAATATCATACGAAATATGATATATAGAAACACATTTGGAACCGCATATTTCCCTATGATGTAACAATGCCTAGTATGTATGTCACAATTACACTACGTTCCGGAATGTATTGTAAACAGAAAAAACTAGCTTAAGTGCACTATGAACTATGTAACACCTTAAGTGCACTATGCACCAAGTAACATCTAGTGTTAGTGCACAGTAAACCAGTCAGAATTGCCCTGATGAAGATGACAGAAGGTCATCGAAACGTCGGCTCATGAAAAATAAATGGTTGTGATAAAAAGAACTTTGTTATTCAGTCATTTACCAACCTGATGAAATTATTTACGAATATCATACGTTTGTTAAAAGACTGTATTTAGAGAAGCTTGACTGTAATAAGGGAGGAGTGTTATCTATACGTATCGACCAGAAAATGTAGCCTTTGATTTATTAACAAACTCTCACAGAGCGTAACAACGCGAGAAAGATTAATAACTTGCATAGAAGGAAGCAGTTTTTCATTTCCAACAGTAGAAATAAACTCATTTCAGGAAGCGCAAATTACCGATATTTTACGCCGCTGTGTGACAGTCTCTCATTGATTGCCAATGACTTTTTATCCTTCAAACACATCATTTTGCAGACTTCCTCTAACTGAAACGACCGTTCGACGTTATATATGGCGAAACGTCCAGTCGTTCGTTATAAGGCTGTCACATTTATTGAAAACTCCATACATAAAACCTGTAAGTGTATGGTAGTTTATTGACGAAATTTAACATTTCTTTTAAGCATTAAACATTAACTGTGAAATTATATTAGCCGCGCAAAATTACACAAACAGAAACACAAACATCACAGAAACAAAACGCTTCTAGTTGTATGTGTCCTGCTATGCTTTCGTTCTCTTCTGGGATGGGAGGTTTGACTCCTGCTATCCGTAGTTTGTTTGTTTGTTTGTTTGTTTGTTTGTTTGTTTTTTCAAATGTCTTGTAAACGCTTTTTCCCAATGTAAAACCGGCTGCGAGAATATAAGTTGTACCTAACTTGAGTTCGCAGTCACTTAGTCCGTGTCCTTTCATTTGTATTCATCACTGTGCTTCTGAATAATAATAATAAAAAACATTTCTTAACAAAGCTACGAAATCGCAAGTTTTGAGTAAATTACTATCGTCTCATCCACGATTACAGCTAGTGATATCAATCAATGCGCTTAGTTACTCAACGGAAATACTGTTTTTGCATAATGAGTGTTTAATGATAGTCATTACTGGCAGCCATGTGACTGATGGAGAAGTAATGTGGCCTGTAATGCCTTTTTTCTGGCAGGTTTCATATAAGATCATCTAGATCTGTACGCAGATTAAACCTGTAAGTTAAAAATGTTGATTGTGAGTTGTGGAAGCTAAAAAAGACTTAGCAGAATAGACAGTTGGCAGAATGGCAGGATCGTACACACCCTACATGTACGTTCCGTCCTCTTGGAAAAGAACAAACTTATAGTAGAATAGACTGGTTTGGTAGCGACTTCTTGAAAGGTTGATACAGACGGAAAAAAACGGGATAACTATCGGAATATTCCTTAGGTAACTAAATTAGAAACAAAGTCAGAATGATCCGATCGTACTCACACTCCGTAGCGGCTTTTAAAAAAGATAAACTTTATAGCACAACAAACTAAGTTGGGGCATTCATGAGCTAATTTTTTGGAAACACAGACTGAATTATCCGATTATAATACTCTAGCCTCTCTTTACACAAACTCTACAGACTCTATCGGGATATTCATTAAGTAATTAAATCAGACACAAAGTCGGAATGGCCCGATCGTTACCACGCGCTCATCAGCATCTTCTCGAGAAAAGTAAACTTATAGCAGAATAGCCTCCTCATACATACTCTGTAGCGTCTTCTTGAGAAGTCTTTACTGACTCTATCGGGATATTCATTATGTAATTAAATCAGAAACAAAGTCGTAATCACCTAACCGTATCTAGCGTCTTCTTGAGCAAACTCTCTAGAATTGAAACGTCTGACCGTTTCCAAAATCACATCCAGATGCTTGAGTAACTGTTTTTTTTTGTTTTTTTGCAAACTCTATAGACCCTATCGGGATATTTATTAGTTAATTAAATCAGAAACAAAGTCGGAATGGCCCGATCGTTACACACACTCCGCTGCATCTTCTAAAATATAGCCGGCTAGAGTAGTTAATTTTCGAGAAACACAGACTGAATTGTCCGACTCTACTCATACTCACGCCTCTTCTTTAGTTAGCAAACTCTATAGACTTATTCACTTATTCATTAGGTAATTAACTCAGAAACAAAGTCGGCATGGCCCGATCGTTATCACACACTCATCAGCCCCGACTCTTCCTGTGACCCTGCTGACCCACTCACACGCCACGCTAAGGACCATGTGGCCTTAATGGAGTCCGCGGCAAAAATGGACTTTTTTCTGGGATTGGTCAGGAAACAGGAAAGATGTGGGGTCGTGTGGGGTATCGGCAGAGTGCTCGACTCGGAACCAAGAGGTCCCGGGTTCGAGTCCTGACATGCCACCGACCCTGTGCCCCTGGGAAAGGCACTTTACAAGACTTTCCTCACTTAACTCAAGTCAAAATGAGTATTGTCTTGTCCTGTATTCGTCCTCTGCGTTGGTGGCGGCATAAAATAAGTTGATATAACTTGTATGAATGAATGAATGAATGAATGAATGAATGAATGAATGAATGAATGAATGAATGAATGAATGAATGAATGAATGAATGAATGAATGAATGAATGAATGAATGAATGAATGAATGAAAGAATGAATGAAACTTTCAAAGTTTTAATCTGTAACACGTTGTGTAATTCAGCCAACTTGGATGCGAATGCAATGTGATTAAACAGTATTTGATGATATTTTAGTCATTTTTTCTAGGCCGGTGTCACCCCGCTAACCCTCCTCACACACGCCGCGCTAAGGACCATGTGGCCGCCTCATCACGGGTATAATGGACTCCCGTGAGTTTAGGGAACTAGAAACAACTTCATAGCAGAACTCTGTTGGGGTTTTTCTGTATCTGTATAGCTGGTATAACCGCCCTTCGGCGTAACACACCAGCTTCTGTATCTGTATAGCCGGTATAACCGCCCTTCGGCGTAACACACCAGCTTCTGTATCGGTACAGCCGGTATAACCGCCCTTCGGCGTAACACACCAGCTTCTGTATCAGTACAGCCCGTATAACCGCCCTGTTGACCCCTCTCACACGCGGCACGCTAAGGACCATGTGGCCGCCTCATCACGGCTATAATGGACTCCCGCGCGGCCAGCTTCGATCGCTCAGCGTTCGATCCGACGCCCCTGCCGCAATCCTAGCGTAAAATTACTATTGCCGTCCGCAATGGGCGCCATAATGCGACTCTCAGGGGAGAGATGGAGACACTGACAAGGTTGTTACATGGAGTGTGGGGGGGGGGCATTCTTTGAGCGAACGGAAGAAAAATTAAAGATGGGGCTAGGCACTAGACTAAGTACAGTTGTGGAAAAATAGTAAAACTTGGGCAAAAATTGGGAAAATAGTTTGGCAGAAGACGATAGCAAGATTGTCACATGGAGGGAAGAGAATTGTATACATGTACAATAAAGTCTTCATTCATTAAAGATCAGGCACTGCATCGCTCCTATACTAGGATAAGGACTAGTTAAAAATACTAAGCTAAAACTAGGGCTAACATGTCTCGGGAAAATATTGTCCTGCCCCTTATGCTTACGGCTCAACTCTATCTAGGGGCCGTGGTAAAGTTTCCCGGGGGTATGTTGGCTCTGGGGCCAAGGAACTGGTCTGTTCGGGCCCCTAAAAAAGGCTCGCATGTAGGCCCTGGAGACGAGGAGCTGGCCTGTGTAGGCCCTGGGAATGGCCTGGCATCCAGGCTACGGCGGGATGGATTGAAGCATCATCCCAACCTGACAACCACAGATGTGCTAATAAGTCAGACCCACCACAGCGCCCTCTGGGGACATTGAAATGAACTGCACTGCGGGTTTGAGTGCTGCTTTCCGCCGCAAAATATCCATCCCGACCGTCGATCAAAACAAGCAGTTCGCAGGAAAGCTCAGGCAGTTGCGTCAAACTTTTCATCTATAACAGCGCCTATCTAGCTCTATGCCTCAATGGCTTTAAAACATCAAAAAAAAAGCAACAAAAAAAGAACTTCACATTTACATACATCCACAACATTTACTAATAAAAAAATCAACGGCACAGTACACACAGAAATGTTGAAAATACAAAGGAATGAAAAGGAAGAAGTGAATGATAAGCTTATACAATATAAAATTCTGCATGAATCTAATATAAAATAGTTCTAAAATCAAATCTAGATTATGCTTAACTTGGAAATAACGAAGACTGGAATGAACATTAAAACGTGAAAAAACGAATAAGCGAAATCATTTTCAGCTTACAGTCCCATGATGCTATGCGCGATGACGTCACGTCCGAAGTCTCGCAAGGATAGCCCCTGACCACGCGATAACGGTGACGTCACTAACATCCCATCCAGCCGTCCGAAGTCTCGCGAGGATAGCCCCTGACCACGCGGTAACGGGTCTCGCTGTACTTCCAGTAGTGCTGGCCCTTGAAAACATAGACGTGCCCTGTGGGGTAGGTTTTAAAAAAAAGTTAGTTACAGTCCTCCCCGCAACCTTAAGCATGGCCATGGTCGCATATGGCGGCACCCATCTCCGTTTCTATAGCCCTTGCAATTGGCCACACAGTGCAATCACTACAGAAGGGGGCTAGTCCACTGGTAGTGGTGTGTGTTCAACTGCCATACTCTTTGGTATGACCATAATGTCCTTGGTATGACTCAGCCGGGGATCGAACCCACGACCTACCAAATGCAAGGCGGGCACTCTACCCACTTGGCCATTACACCGGTCTGAGGGGTTAAGATTACAAAATTGCATCTGAGATCTGTACTGTTCTCATTTACGTCCTTACGTACTTACAGAGATATTCTTCTAAGTTGAGTGCTTTCTCCTCACTGTGCTATGGTCACAGTACTTCATAACAAAAAAAAAATATGTTCTTCAGGCTGGGGTAGATAAAACAAAAAAATAGCACACCGTCCTCCGTTGCCTCGAACGCGGCGTCTATGTGCGTGGGCAGCCCTCTCCACACGGTGATGGGGCGCGGGAACCCGGGGTCGATCTCGCCTTTCTGCTCATCATACCGCCAGTAATACTCGTCCTAGAAAAGTCATTATTATAGCTGTTGTTATACATTTTCTACATTTACATTGCCTAGTGTGGCAAAAGACAGTATAAAATTGGCCAGGCAGTATCCATTCGCCTGAGAGGGTCTATACGCCACCCAACTGCCTGGCCAATTTGGTACTGTCTTTTGTCACCCTAAGATCTGGTTGGAGATTATCATTTTCAACATTACAAAGACGAGAGAAGAAGCTTAACTCATTAAGACACAGCACAAGTGATTATACGAGGAAGTGTATACGTAATAATATGCTGTAGACACATGAAAATGCAAAACATCCCGCAGAATACACGAGATCATACCACAAAATCACACAGGGTACACAAAAAAGTTACAAAACACGCGCGTGATAATACAACAAATTCACGCAGCACACACGTGATGATAACCAACAAATCACGCAACATACACGTGATAATACTCACCTTGAAGAAGTAAGTTTTCCCGGAAGGTCGCCAGGGCAGCGCGGCGTCCACGGAGTCCACAGGGCAGATGAGCATACCAACAAATCACGCAGCATACACGTGATCACATCACAAAAATCACACGGTGTACACGTGATAATACTCACCTTGAAGAAGTACGTTTTCCCTGAAGGTCGCCAGGGCAGCGCGGCGTCCACGGAGTCCACAGGCAGGCCGAACCGCGAGATGGGCTGGGGGTAGCCGGGCTCGGGCAGGACGCCCTCAAACAACCAGAACAGATTACCTGAAAAACAGTTCAGGTCATTCTTAGAAGATACTCCCTTAAACAACCAGAACAGGTTACCTGAAATACAGTTCAAGTCTTTCTTAGATGATACGTTCCGTAAAAGAAAGTACAAAGATATCTTTGTCTTTGTGAGTTTGATTTGTCATGTATCTTTACATACCACATCGAATTCTCACTATCAGAATATGATGATGATGATAATGACCTACAGTACTCTGCAGCTGTTCTTGTATCAAAGGAAGGAAACACATCTTGTAAACATTACATTACAATCTTAGTACTTGTTGGTCATAAGCAATACAGGCATTGACCTAAGAATATAAGTATTGTGAATATATACAACCTAACTCCTCTAAACTTTCCTAGATCCTGTTTATGTTTTTTCCTGACAAAAATTCTAAGAAAACGCAACTTCTAAAGGGAACTATCTACTGTTCTACTGTTTTCGTGTTTATCTTCTCGTGAAATAATGATGAAGAATTTAGCTTAAGAACTCACCGCTGAAGAAGATGAGTTTTCCGTCGTGGATCCGCTCGTACGCCGCGTCCACCTTGTTGGGCAGCCCGGACCAGAAGTGCGTGATCGGGTCCGGTCCCGACACGCGGTTGTTCCGCTGGTTGATGCGGAAAAAGTACACATCCTGGGTGGAGAAGGGACATCAGAAATAACCCTGATTAATGATTTGAGAAAGGAAAATGGGAAAAAACGACAAAATTCATGGAACAAATGGGGAAGATATGAGTGGACAAAACCGCAAGTTCATCACAAATGAAAACAGCTGATCTTTAACGTCTTGATATTGCATTAAGGTCATGTTAAAAGAAAGAATCCACGAAAAGATGATATAGCAAGACTAGAAAAAATACATGGAAAGACATCCAGTGGTGTACAGCTACAGGACAACGAATAACCCAAGAAAGCCAAAGATAACCATCAAAAGAAGATCAACTCGAATTGCGATTGTAGATCTCCTACATGGTCGAAGAATCTACTATACTCTACTCGTTTCTTATCGTTTCGTATCGAAGAAATCTTAATTCCGCACCTTTAAGAAGAAGAGCTCCCCCCGGAACTGGAAGACGGCGTCGAACTCGGGGCGTCGGCAGCGGTCGGGCAGCGGGCTGCACTCGGGGATGATCGGGTCAGGCTTCTCGTCCTGACCTGAGCAGCCAAAACAAAAAAAAAAAACAGTTTTTTTTAGGTATTTAAAATTTGTTTCGTTCACCAGTGTGAATTTATCACGGATTCTGTACATATTCTATTGTGACACAGATCCAAGACGTCTTCTTCCGTTCCAAACAAATAAGGTCAATGACTTGGACCAGACTTCTGTTACTATGGTAACTGGTGTCGTAGCAGACACCCTGTGGTGTTGGGTAACATTATGTAGCAACTGACCAGAAAGAATTCAGGCTGAGTTACCTAATATATGAATGCGTTTGAGTAAGACTAAACAGAGCAGTAGCTGTTAGGCTATGCCGTGCCATCATCATCATCTTATCTTTCATACTGCTTAGTCCGATGCATATCGTATTCTGTAACCGGCATGTGAATGTTACCTTTCTAGTAACTTTTGTATTGCATACAGTACTGACCGTAAAGGCTCTGTATAGCATAAAGTACTGACCGTAAAGGCTCTGTATAGCGTATAGTACTGACCGTAAAGGCTCTGTATAGCCATCTTGTCGTCTGGGTGCATACAGGGGTTGTCCTTATAGATGTAGGCAGGAAACATGATGGTGCCCGGTACGGGCGTGTGGCTCAGGCCGAGAGCATGACCAAACTCGTGAACTGCCACTTGGAACAGGTTTGTACCTGCAAACATCAATCAATCAATCAATATGTCTATTTGCTTAGAGTTTTAAAAAGTTGTCTCACCTAGAGTTTTCTACAAGTCACTCTGGTCTTCCTCAGTAGACTGGCCCAGTGAGGCGACCAGATACCTTTGACCCAGTGTTGACGTCAAACTTCAGAAAAGCCACGTGACACGCCTCAGGGTCAGTCTACTGAGGAAGACCAGAGTGACTGGTCGAAAGCTCTGGGTGAGAGAACTTTTTGTGTTGGATATAATTTTTTACTCTAAACATATTGTTCTTATTGTTGTTACTGTTGTTGTTGTCTAATTATTTACAAGTGAAAAAATTCATTGTTGTTATTGTTGTTGTTGTTGTTGTTTACCTTCTGGGGTGTTAAGCGTCCACAGCTCGTCGGCGTCGAAGTGCGTGTCTCCGTCTATGTAATACGTGTTGGAGTCGCGAGGAGGCTGGAACGCGTGCGCTAGTCTCAGGCCCCGGCCGCTGTGGAAGTCAAACCTGGAGAACAAAAAAGGACATGGTGTTTTTTTTCCTTTATTTTTCTTTATTGCATTTTACAAAAAGAAATAATCTACGTAACAGAACGAAACAGCTACAGAAACAAAAACAAATTGCCTCCCTTAAACATATAACGCTTTAACCACAGATAAACATTATAAAATTATATCTATAGTTATATCATAGTAATTATAGGACATGGTATGGTAAGCATCATAATTGTGCGCTTTTTGGAAACACCTTGTTGCTAAGTGTTTTACACAATCTCCAGATAAATAATCTCACACAGCGGGGATTCAGTAACTCACCGTATAAGAAAAATCGACTGTCCGAGCTACTTAGCGATATTATGACACGTTAACCGATGGGCGATCCCAGAGAAAGATGTCTGATAGACACCGAAACGTAAGCAAGGTAAGAGACATAATGACACAACCTCATACATTACTGGTTGTTAAAAAGCTTAAGGAAATTCCAATATCCTATCCCCAATGCTGCAGTAAACCAAAGACGTAAGTAACAGTGACGTTCGTTACCTTCCATCAAAAGGAAACCCGTCCTGGTGGTCTCTTGTCAATTTGAAGAACATAATAACAATTTTACCCAGTTCTACGGTCCCTTTTGTTCTATCTCCACGGTTATAATGCTGTATTAAACCCAAGACCTATGTAACAGGGACGTTACCTTCCGTCGAAAGGAGATCCGTCTTGGTGGTCCCCTGAGGAGAACTTGATGATGATATCTGCCCTGCCGGACGCCACTGATGTGAAGGTAAGCGGGGTGTAGTCAGACCACACCCGGAACGCGTTCGCGATGGCCTCTCGGACTTCTTTCTCTGTTAGATGCGGCGTTAGGGACTCAAGTCTGGGGACAAGAAAAATGTCTGATGTTTATAAACTACAGCTGCTATATATAGGACTCTCACTCACTCACTCAGTCTCATAGCTGCGGGCCGTAGAAGACTAACAACTATGCTAAGGTTCGTTCTCTGAGTTCAGCGTTCGGTCTTTCATTCCGTGCCTCGGTGTCTGTTAAGTGCGGAGTTTGGGATTCAAGTCTGTAGAAAAAGTATGTTGATACTACAGTTACTGTTGGAGACATTAAAATGTGGGCCCTGCCAGACGCCACTGATGTGAAGGTAAGCGGGGTGTAGTCTGACCACACCGATGGCCTCCCGGACCCCCGTCTCTGTCAAGTGCGGCGCTAGGGACTCCAGTCTGCAGAAAAAGTATGTTTGATACTACAGTTACTGTTGGTATTACGATGTGTGCCCTGCCGGACGCCACTGATGTGAAGGTAAGCGGGGTGTAGTCAGACCACACCCGGAACGCGTTCGCGATGGCCTCTCGGACCTCTGTCTCCGTCAGGTGCGGCGTTAGGGACTCAAGTCTGGGGAGAAGAAGAATGTTTCATCTTGGTTTAACTACAGCTGCTATATACATAATTCCGACCCATAGACTCTGGTAAGGAGACGAAAGCATGCCTACCTACATGTCAGAAAAATTTACAGAGGATCCATTACTATGATGGGCTTCCTAGAATGGGAGCCTTTCCTTACCTGTAGGTGAGATCTTTCTTGGTCCACTTGGTCCTTAACCCTAACCCTCACCCTAACTCTAAACCCTAACACTAATGATCATCCTAACGGATGATCCTTAAAGTATCGACCTACATGTTTTAAGAAGAACTAGTACTACAAATAATGGGCTTCCTAGAATGTACCTACCTGTAGGTGAGATCATTCTTGCTCCACTTGGTGCCAGACCGACCGTACCTCGCCAGCACATCAGGCACGCCACACCGCGGCTTGCGTATGGCCGCCTAATGCTAACCCTTACCCTAACCCCTAACCCTTACCCTAGACCCTAGACCTTGGACCCTAGACCCTAGACCCTAGACCCTAGACCCTGACCCTAGACCCTGACCCTAGACCCTAGACCCTAGACCCTAGACCCTAGACCCTAGACCCTAGACCATAAACCATAAACCATAGACCATAGACCATAGACCATAATACTAGACCCTGACCCTAGACCCTACACCCTAGACCCTAATAGACCCTAGACCCGGACCCTAGACCCTAACCCTGAACCACTGAACCCTAACCCCACACCTTAGCCGTAATGTACCTACCTATACGTGAGATCGTTCTTGGCCCACTTGGTTCCAGACAGGGCGTACCTCGCCAGTACATCAGGCACGCCACACCGCGGCTTGCGTATGGCCGCCAGCGTCGCGGGGTTTAAAATCCCCGTCGCTAGGAGACCGTAGCTCTTCTGGACGCTCCGGACGGCCTCGGCAACCATCCGCTTCCCGCGCTTTTTCACCACTGATGCCTGCGTGCTGTTCAACGCGTCTTTTGGTAGGTAGCCGAACTCTAGCATGTAGTTCTGGGGAGAATAGATGTTTATGAAAATGTATGTTATACTTCGCTTTCTTTCCCCTTCTCTTCTCTTCTCTCAATCTGTATGTCCCTTTGTGTTCACCGTCTCTTTTGGTCGGTAGCCAAGCACTAGCATGTAGTTCTAGGGAGAATGGGTGTGTGTGAAAATACGTGTATGTGTGATGTTTGGAAGAAAATCTTTCCTTCTTCGTTTTTCGCCTTCTCTACTTTTTTCTTCCTTTACCTTTCTTTCTCTCCCTCTTTATATCCCTTTTTATTTTTCGCCCTCTTTATCTCTTGCCCTCTTTCTTTCTCACCTTCTTCCTCCCTTTTTTTCTGAATGTGTGAAGTTGTATTTTTCATGCAAATGCTATTCTGCACTTCCAAACACAAATTCTGGTATCAATGTTGTTTGAGCAAAGGTAAGAAATGAATTACCTCAAAATGGTATTCTATTCCGTACATACCTTATTAAGTATACATGCAGGCACAACTCACCACTCCTAGAGTGACTTCTTCCGAGGTGACGTTGTCAGTTATGACGTCCTTCTCAAGTTCATGGATCAAGGTTTCCTCGTCTTCTGCCCGCAGCCCCTCTTCTTCTGTTCTGTCCTCTGGCTGCAATAAGCCACATTTTCATAAAAATCATACAGTGGACATGAACAATGATTGAGTTATCGTGAACAAAGCTTCTTGAGTTATCGTGCTACACCACATACATACACAAACACATGCTATGGAAAACATAACCTTCTTGGCGAAGGTAATAATCAAGTGACTTATACTATGTATTTCTAACAGACACTGAAGCGTGAACAATGCGAGAGAACTGGTTACGCATAAGAACATCTTGAAAACTTTAGATCGAACACAAATAAGTTCTCTCGCCTAGAGCTTTCAACCAGTCTCTCTGGTCTTCCTCAGTAGACCTTCTTTGTGTTGGATCAAAAGTTATAACTCTAAACGTGTGACTATTAACACAGATTAACTTTCATGATAACATCCTAATACCGTATATACTTGAATTTGGCTTTCGTAATTCCTAAAAATTATAACCAACCATCAATCATATAAAGAAACAGTACCTGGGCTTCGGTTGGGTGCTCCTCCCTGTCCTCTGTGACGTCAGCGCTAAAATCAGGAAGGCTGTCCTCCGGGTTTGATATGCCAAGATTTCTCAAATCTTCCCACAATCCCTCTGACCGGAAGTTAGGCGCGACCGGCCTCCCCCTGAGAGATGTCACCTTTTAGGAAAAAAAATACACAAATATATAAATAAAAATATTAATATATACCTCGCTTATATAGAGATTGTGCTTCTTTTTTTTCATCCAAATACACAAAATCAAACTCACACAAAGTTCACAAATACACAAAATCACACAGACCAAAAACATGACATTCTTGGCGAAGGTAGCACCAAGCAGCTAAAAAAAAAAACCTGCATCTTGATTTGATTTAAATTTTGTTTGACAAGTTCAGGAGGTGGGCTAATCTCAAAAGCACCACTGTGAGCTCCATACAGACCAGGGCTCAGGAAAAAACACATGACTGAGTTGGCACCGATCCACTCCAGACCACTTCCCGACACGCGACCTCTGTCTGTATGTATTTACGAACTACAACTCACAGTTACTCCTCTAATGAGGTAGCCTGGCAGTGGTATCCGTTAGCCTGGATACCAGACCGTTTATAGGGCCTAAACAGGCCAGCTCCTTGGCCATTACAGCTCCTTGGCCCAGTGCCCTAAACTCAGGCTAAAGAGATGTTACCACGGACACCCCTAAGTTAGGTCCCCATGTGTGTGTTTACGAACTACAACTCTCTCAGTTACTGTTCTAATGAGGTGCCAGGTAGTGGTTTCCGTTAGCCTGGATACCAGACCGTCTTTAAGGCACAAACAGGGCAGCTCCTTGGCCAAGTGTCCTAAAGAGTCACCCTAAGTTAGGACCAGGCTAGATATGCCCGCATTTCCAGCGCTAGGTACTACTAGTATTCCCAACGTACAACTGAACTGAAAACGGCTGCGTTGCAGGCTAGTTATGAATGAGGCGACGACATCGGAATTTGGCGGCAAACCTGTTTTTCTGCAAGGACCGGAAAGATTGGACATATTTGGATCGGTCAAGTCCATAGAACCGGAGGTGATAATCACCCCATGCTGTCAACATGCAAATGGGTGACCAGCTGGCTTATTTTTAAACATTCAAGGCACAAGTTCGGCTGGAGGAGCACCAAACTGGTAAGTCATCTGTAAAGTTTTTTGTTATTCATACAAACTACTATTTAAACTCCTTAAACATGTTGATATAATACAGAGATGGGGATGGAGACGGGGGGGGGTATGAGTAGTAGTAGTAGTAGTAGTAGTAGTAGTAAGCCTCTATTTAAACTCGATAGAAGAACATGTCACTTATTTTGTAAACTATTACAAACCATTACAAATGTTTCCATCACCAAAATCATAATCCAGTTGCTTGAGTAACTGTTTTTGGCGTATCTTATTACCTGGATGTCTAACCTTCACCGGGACGTAGACTCCAATACAATCTAACAATTATTTTTCCAAGGTCTAGTTACAAAACACCGAAATTGTGTTAGAGTTGGGCAATTGAGAAGTCTAGTGTTCTGACTGGTTACTGCGGTCACTTTACGATGTGTATGTACAAAACCAGTGGCTGGCACTGGGTTATGTTTACGTAACGTTACATGCTGCCCAAAGATGATGACATCAGCCCCCACTTTCTAGGCGTAAACACATTTTTGTCGCCCTGAAAAAGCCCTTACATAGCAAATCAAGGGACACCGGAGAATGCGTTAAACGGTCTCCACGACTACACCTCAAGCTAAGGTCTCCACTTTGGAGAGTAAAAATCACTAGATAGAAATATTAGCGGTTGCTAATATAGACAGGTTCGCGTTGTAGTGTAAGCTAAATCGGCTATTAAAGGTGATTGCACAACGGACGTGCCCCATGACCTTCGACCTTTTGGGGGTCATGCAGGCGTCAACAGCGCCCTTCCCACGCCTCGCCCGTCCGTTTTCGTGGGCACATTTCTGCTTTTTTAGAGGTTTCGGGACCTAAAAACTCACACCAGGGGAGAAATAAGCCACATACGTTATTTTCATGGTAAACATCGCTAAAATGGACCAGGCGTGTTTTTTTTTTGTCGCCGTGTATGCTACCATGGATGCTACAGGCCCTTCCCCGTCCGGTTTTGTGGGCGATTTCTGCTTCTTTTAGACGTTTTGGTACTTAAAAACCGACAGCAGGGGAAAATTAATCATATACGTTATTTTCATGAGAAATGCCGCTATCAGACATTTTTCTGCCACATGCAAATGAATAAACATGCATATACATGTAAATTATGTCGCGGTACGGTAGGGAACATTTTCTACAGTGTGTTCGTAAACGTATTGGCTTTTAAACTTGTATATCAATGTATATATTGATGGCTGTTGCACAGCTTTTTTGCCCTTTTAAATTAACCTTGAGTCCTAGATCAATGTTGATCTGTCTTAAGGGGCCGACCGAACTCCGGGACACATCCTGCCATGCCTGAGGATGAACCTGTTAGACTGTACGGTCGCCCTCTACGTGCCCTCTCATGGCAGACGCAGGCGAGGCCGACAGCCTACCTCCTACTTCAAGTATGTCCAGCAACTGCTGGGAGATGAGCACAATCAGCTAACTGAGAAGCAGATCCCTCCACAAGGGGCAGTGGAGGGATCTTCTGTATCGGTATAGCCGGTATAACCGCCCTTCGGCGTAACACACCAGCTTAGCAGGCACGTGGCACGGCGGCAGCTAGCTATATAGCACACCGAACGGCTTGTTACACTCAATCTTTGCACATTTGATTGCAGGAGTTGTTTAAAGTTTTCTAGTGATGATGCCCCAACTGTGCTTGGTGGCAACGAGTTCCAGTCTACGATAGTTCTGGGGAAATACGAGTTTTTGAATACCTCAATTCTTGGTTGATAACTCTGATATTTGAAGGCATGACTGTTTCTTGTTCTTTTCTGGGTTGGTATCAGATACTTGGTGGTTGGTACGTCCACCAGCGATCTTGCAGTCGCCGATGATGATGATGCTGATGATGAAATGAAGATCCAATTTGCATAAGTAATGGCTCGCATAACATCGGCTTTTGTGCACCATTTGAAGCTACTAGTACGGTAGTACCCTTCTGTTATTAACCCAATGCATTTGTTTTCTTAACAGGCCAGGCTGTTAATTTCAGTCCACTCTGCTGTTTATAGCTGATACGTGTTTAGATAAGGTAAAAGTGATCATAATGTTAAAGGTGTACAGACTGGTATTTGACACAAGCATGAAAATAAGGACATGGGGCACAAATAAATATACATTTCCTACATCAGCCCGTGAGGCAGTACATTGATTTGGCCATACCAAGGCCACATACTCCTGTTTACCTGAGGGAGTATCGATGTACACAGCGCCACTAAGCTGTGTCCTTGAGAGTGCTCAGACTGCCAACTTTGGCCTGAGGTTATGGCGAAGGGAAATGAGGTCACGGAGAACAGAACAGATTCGGTGGCACTGTGTTTTCACTGTTTAAGACGGGAATACAAAGAGATACAGAAAATGTGCTGTGTGAGCCCTTTCAATGCAGGATGGTTTGTTTGAAAAATCTCCGAGAGAGGATAACTAAACAACCATTTGACGGGTCGTCATGATTTTTTGTATGTAGGTAGCTTAAGTGATGCTTGACACAATTAAACTACAATTATGCAAATCAGGATCTAACTTTCATAATTAGTGTGGAAATTCTATAAATCTGCTTTATTCCATATTAGGGCTATGAAACACTTGTGATATCTGTAATTGAGAGCGACAAAATCATTGGCAGATATTGATTATGTAAATGAAGACGTAATTTGCATAATTAATGGAAAATCGGTACAATTTTATGTTGGTAACTGCTGGAGACATAAATCGTCCGTCTTTGCTCTCTTACAAGGAATACCACTATCATTTGCCTTAATGCATATTTGTTAAGTGAATGCGTGGAAGCTGTAAGTATAAGGTATGGAGAAGTACAACAATCATCCTCAGGTAAAGTGGAACATGGTGCTTAAGCTTTTCAAGTCAAGTATACATTGCGACTTCGTCTTCACTTCGCGCGCTGATAGTGATACGCAAACCCCCTAGGTCCGCTGCGCTCGTTCAAGCGGCCTGTTCTTCTATACTGCATGAGTGCCATCTCTTCTGTAACGGGGTGGTTCAGGCACTCGGGGAGTCCCGTTACAACACGAATGGCACCTATTATATAATATCCAAGCAGATCATTCGGGGGCAAGGCAGTATCCATTTGCCAGACGAGTGTTCATGGCTGCCCTTGTATGATCTGATTAGAGATTACGCATCCAGGCTAATAGATCTGATGAAAACCACAATGGGTCCGGGACAGATGAAACGACGCGTATATCTCTCAGCGGGTAGCTTCGTTATGTACATGTTATGGTCATATTTCGAAACGCCTTCCGGTCGAGCGGTTTTAGGGAACGAAAAGTATGATATGGCAAACGATAAGACGCGATCAAGAAACAGGCCAGAGTTTTGCATCAGAAATCAATTTCATTTCTCTAGTATCTGTTACATGTGATTAAAATGTTAAAAAACATAATTTCATACGAATACATACCGTAAGTTAATGTTTAAATTACAAATATGCTTGACTGTCTCATGTTCTCCCGCAATACAGTTTGTATATGTATAAGGAGCCCCCCCCCCCCAGCCGATTGTACGCTAACTGTATATTGTGACTGACATGTTTTCGCAAAGTTGTGTTCCACATCCCTTCTGTACGCCTCAAGGACACAGTTGACCTTGCAACTACTGTACCTCGCTTTGATGGAAGCCGGGTGTTACTGTAATGACAGCCGTTCGCACCGAAAGGAGACCGTTTGTAACCTGTAATTACTCACAGCCAAGCTTCGGTAGTCAGTAGTTCGGTAGTGTTGAACCGGATAACTAACAATGTCATGATTGTAAGACCGTCGGAATAGCAGGCGGCGCAAGAGGGGAAAGTTTACCTCCCCATTCCGGACATGATTTGGCCCACATGTCGATCCCTTCCTATAAACAAACTATGTGTATCAAAGATATAGGAAATTGGAACGCTATATTGGGAGGGTTCCACAGCGTCAGAACCCGGTTCACCAAAAGAATGTGAACTCGGTGACGTTGACCTGAAAGGTTAGTAGATAATCCCTTAAGTGAAGTTTAATCGAAAGGAACGTGCTTTTTTTTCTCACAACCTGGCACGCTATGATCCAGCGGAAAGCCTTCAAAAACATGACAGCTTTTATCCAAATTGAAATATTTTGGGCCAAGTTGGCTATGACTTAGGGTCTGGTACTCCGCGGGGCTGGAAAGGGACTTTCTAATCCGAAATCCCCTGCCATTCAGCCCCCGTCTATTGTGAACTAAAGAGAAGACGCCAATCAATTATCTGAACTAACTTTGGAGGCTCCTGTCACCCTCGGAATCATCACAGTTAAGACAGTCCGGAGGTCTCTGACCCGGGTCGTGACCCGTTACATCTGTAATCCTCACACAATTTTCGTACTTGCGTGTGAATTTCATGGAATTTGAACGAAAACCTACGGCTCTAGGAGGTTGAGATGTTACCGACTCCATGATACCCTTCCTGCACATATCTAACGGTGGATCTCCATGCTCGTGTTCACCTCGGAACTACTTACTGTACTACCCCCAACTTGGCCCCGGGGCCCGGTTACTGTATACTCTGGGTCATGTTCTTCTGGCTATACAATTAACGCACTGCCATTGCCGTCTCCTTGACCCCTTTGTGACCGCTGTTTCCCTTTTCTTGAGACTTTCACGCTGCCAATGCATATATGGCACAGTGGTTTCTAACACTGAATGTTGCAAGGGTGTAGTTTTGATACTGCGTATTGTAGAATTTTTAACGCGTTATTTTGTCGGATCCCACGGAGAGTACACTTAGGCCACACTGTCTTCATTTTATGGATGACATCCTCTGAAGACCTCCAAACTAGTGCGCGCGGACGAGTAAAATAAAAATCCGGCCAAAAGTAAAAATGCTACTAAACCACAGGAATACAAGGGCAAAGCTGGTGTTGTGAATTTGCGGCAGAACATAGCGACATATACGACAAGCACGCTGGCTTTTTGCGGAATTTATGAATCGACACTGTACGGTATGTATTGAGGTCTTGAGTCTTGGA